CTCAATCTCCAGGGCTCATGTGATCCTCCCACCTCAGCTTCTCAAGTAGCTGGGACTACAGGCGTGTACCACCACAGCTGGCTAATTTTTGTATTTTTTATAAAGACAAGGTTTCACCATGTTGCCTGGCTGGTCTCAAACTCCTGGGCTCAAGTGATTCTCCCACCTCAGCCTCCAAAACTACTATGAAAAATTCCAGGTTTCTACCTCCCAGGCTCCTGGTAAAGTCGTATTTCTCTATGTCCTTGAAGTTAGAGGTGGCCATAAGACTTGCTTTGGCCAATGAAATGGTGACAGAGGTGATCCATCACTTCCAAGTGAAATAACTTAGTGACCAGTGCTCAATGTCAACCCTCCCCTCCCGTGGCTGAGGTGATTATAGAAGCACACATGGCAATAAAGATTCTGGCAGCTGAGGCACCAAGTTATCAACAGAGCACCAGATACCAGCCAACCCATGTGACCAAGGAGCATGAGCAAGAAATACATATCTGGGTGTTAAGCTACTGAGTTTAGAAGATACTTCTTGTTGCAGCATAACCTAATTTTGCCAATGAGTATATCCATTTTTTAAAAAAAGAGATGAGATAACACATTTTAGGACAATGCCTCTCAATTCTTGCTTTACATTCAAATCCCCTGAAGATATTTCCAAGAACAAAAGTTCTAGGCCCTATCCCTAAAGACTCCAATTCAGCTAGTCTTGGGTAGGGCCCAAAGCATTGGTGGTTTTTTAAAAAGTGAGTCTGATGTGCAGTCAGAATTGTGACCAACCATGCTAGGGGAATGGCAAAGAGAAAGGTTACTTGTAGCTTAAACGATCTAGAAGAGACTTCATGGCAGAAATGATAATCTGACCTTGGCCACGAATGATGAATGGCATTTCATCCAGTGTTTCTCTGTCTTTGCTGGTATGTTATTAGACTCACCTAGAGAGCTTGGCCTGCTCCATTTTATCTGGAGCATTCTGTCTTCTTTATTAGTAGCAGAATCCCAGTTTTGTTTGGATATGCCCTAGCAGATAAAACATGTTTGGTAAGCCAATGTTTCTCTTCAATAGATCTCACTCTCTCAGACTCTCTTGCAGCTAGGGGAGTCATGTGACACAGTTCTGCCAGTGAGTCATAGGGTAAAGGTTTCTAGATGCTCTCCAGATACAATTTTCCTCCACGGTCAAAAGATAGCAGATCTCAGGAGAGCTCTTTTTACCACCATGGCTTCCAACTCCCTGTTGCTTCCTCAACACTTACTTTCTACCTTTTGAATGCAGTTGTGTGAGGCCATCAGGTTTGGTACTACTGCAGTCAGCTCATGACTATATGGCAGGAGGCTGTGGAGTGGTAGAAGAATTATAGAGCCATCTTGCAGCCCAGAGTCCCAAGTGAATCCTGGAATCTCCCCACTTCTTTTTTCCAGTCACAGGGGGTACATGTGCAGGCTTGTTACATGGGTATATCGCTCTCAGGTAGTGAACATAGTACCAACAGGTAGTTTTTTGACCCATGACCCCTTCCCTCCTGCCCATCTCTAGTAGTTTACAGTGTCTATTATTCCCACATTTATGTTTGTGGGTGCTCGATGTTTAGCAGTATTTGCTAAACATGCAGTGAGAACATGCAGTATTTGGTTTTGTGTTCCTGCATTAATTCACTTGGAATTATGGCCTCCAGCTCCATCCATGTTGCTGGAAAAAACATGATTTCATTCTTTTTTATGGTTATGTAGTATTCCATGGCATATATGTACCACATTTTCTTTACCCAATCCACCACCAGTGGGCGCCTAGGTTGATTCCATGTCTTTGCTATTGTGAATAGATGGTGATAAATATGAGTTCATGTGTCTTTTTAGTATAATGATCTATTTTCCTTTGAGTGTATACCCTACTAATGGAATTGCTACAGATTTCTTTTTCTTTTCCAAGATGAAGCCTTGCTCTGTCACCCAGGCTGGAGTGCAGTGGCATGATCTTGGCTCACGGCAACCTCTGCCTCTCAGGTTCAAGCAATTCGTCTGCCTCAGCCTCCTGAGGAGGTGGGATTACAGGTGTGCACCACCACACCCAGGTAATTTTTGTGTTTTCAATAGAGACAGGGTTTCACTGTGTTGGCCAGGCTGGTCGCAAACTCCTGACCACGTGATCAGCCCACCTTGGCCTCCTAAAGTGCTGAGAGGTATGAGCCACCGCACCTGGCCAGATCTCTTCTTAATGGAGATAAGTACACTTACAGCTTGAGCCACTATGGGATTTTTCTATTACTTATGGACAAACATATCCAGACGGATGCATCAACTGATTGCAAATACGGGGCTCAGGTAGGTGTCACTTTTAAATGTTCCCTCCAGGTCCTGAAACATAGTGAATTTTAAAGTTTCTGATGTAGGCATTTGGAGATGTCAGGGAATTGGGAGAACTGACAGGAACAAAGGCTTAGGGAATACCTTTTTACAAAGTTTCCAAAGGCCCAAAATAGAGGATATTTACTCTGCTAAGGGCATCTCCAGAGGTTTCTCCTAGAGACCAAAACCTTGATCCAATTAAAACAGTTTATTCCGACTTGAGAGTTAAAAGTGATGTATCTCAGCATTCCTAGAAGCCTTAAAATAGTGCCTTGTTTTGCATAGTGCTTGTTAGAAATCAGATTCTTTTTGTTTGTTAGTCTGTGAAATAATACACACAGGTTGCCTACTTAATAGGAGACACTCAAAAATGCTAGCTCTTTAAGAAGTATTAATATAAAGAGCAATTCACAGTAGGCCCTTAATGCTAGTTCTTTCCCCTATAATCCTATCACCATGCCTAGTCTATGGATGTGGAAACAGGCCCGGAGGGGGTGTGTGCTTTCTCAAGATCACCTAGGGAATAAGAAGTAGAGCAGTGACCTGTCATTCTTCTGTGTCCAGCCTAAAGCCAGCAGCACAGACAGAAATCCTGGGCCCTTAGGGCCAAACTGAGACAGAGAGAGAGAGAGAGAGAGAGAGAGAGAGAGAGAGAGAGAGAGAGAGACACACACACACACACACACACACACACACACACACACACACACACACTGTTCTCTTTATTCTTTGCTGGGCCCTTAGGGCCAAACTGAGACACACACACACACACACACACACACACACACACACACACACAGTTCTCTTTATTCTTTGCTAAAGGCAAGAGGCCACCAGAGCAGGCATGGGACTCAGCACCCAGTGGCTAGTGGGGTCCTCTGTATGGCACCCACTGGCAGCACTTGGCTTTGGTCTCAGTTTCATTTGGTTATTTCTTGTTCGATGATTCAGCCTCTTGGCTGAGAGCTCTGAGGCATTCAAGACCTTTAAAAACCAGGCGTAATTTAATTCCTAATTTTTAGTTCCTTGCTTATCTTCTCCCACTCCCCCAACACTTTATTTTATAGACACTTTCATTAATTCATTCATTCGTTCATTCATTCATTCATTCAATACATTCTTTACTATATGCCCGACCAGATGGTCTTACCAGGAGGTCTAAAAATAATCTTCAGTTAACATTATGCTTAATGGTGAGAAACTGGATCCCTTCCCCTTAAGCTTGGGAACCAGGCGAGGATGTCATCTCTTACCGTCTAGCGCAATAAAATACACAAACAAAAAGAAATAAAAGCTATATGGATTGAGAAGGAAGAAGTAAAGCTGTTGTTATATGTAAATTTTCAGTGTCGCAAAAGAAGTAGCACTCAAATATAAATTCCCTCAGCAAGGCAATTTACTTCCTTAGAAGGGTGCGGCTCACAGATGGAACAACGGTGAGTGCACACCTGGGCAAGGGAGAGGAAGGGGTACTTATTCCTGACGGAGGTCACCCCTACTGCTGTGTCACTCCCTTGTTGGCTAGGGTTAGACCTCACAGTCTAGTCTAATTCAGATTGACTGTTTTAAAGGGAACAGGGGTACAAGCCCAAGTGGTGGGATGGGTAGTTTGGCAGAAAGGACAGTTACAGGCAGGTCAGAACAGGTAGCCAGGGGTGACCTAGGTCAAAGCAGGCGACTGGGGCAGGTGATCAGGATGAGTCAGGTCAAAGCTGGTAACCGAAGCAAGGGAGCAGGGAACAGATGTGAACTACTGATTAAAACTGGTGGAAAAGGTTGTTTACTGAAACTACAAGAAAATTAAACTTTAAAATGGAGAATTAAAGAATAAGAGAGGTAAACATATGACATACTGATTCTTTGAAGAGAAACTTAAGGTTCGCTATACCTAACAACTGTGTGTACTCACAGATGACATCATTGACTATGTAAAAAAAAATAAAAACCGAAGAAGCCAGGTGCGGTGGCTCACACCTGTAATCCCAGCACTTTGGGAGGCCAAGGTGGGCAGATCACTTGAGGTCAGGAGTTCAAGACCAGCCTGACCAACATGGTGAAACCCCGTTTCTACTAAAAATACAAAAATACAGGCATGGTGGCATGCACCTGTAATCCCAGCTACTCGGGAGGCTGAGGCAGAAGAATCGCTTGAACCCAGGAGACAGAGGTTGCAGTGAGCCGAGATCGCGCCACTACACTCCAGCCTGGGCCACAGAGAGACTCCACCTCAAAAAAAAAAAGAAAAAAGTAAAAGCCACCAAGAATCTATACAGTTTTCTGGAACTAAGAAGCAAAAATGGCAAGGACATAAGATCAATATATTAAAAAAATCAATCCTCTTTATTTAATTTATACATTTAATGCAACTCCATAAAAACACCAATCCTCACTATGTTACCCAGGCTAGCAATCCTCCTGCCTCAGGCTCTGAGTAGCTGGGACTACACCCTTGGCCTCAGGCTCTGAGTAGCTGGGACTACACGCTTGACCTCAGGTGTTTTTTGTTGTTGTTGTTTTTTGTTTGTTTGTTTTTTAAAATGACAGTCGAGTCAGATGATGTTTAAGGCATCTCTGAAATTCTAGAATTCCTGGATGCGTGAACAGCTGCATACTGGGGTTTCCCTTTGTATCTCCTGGGTGCCTCCTGATTTGAAGGCTCGTTCAGGATGTGCAGAACAAGTTAAAGGAATCAGCACACTGTGTTGGGGAGGAATTCATGAACTGTAAGCTGGCTACCAGGGCCAAGGACTTCCTCCCAGCTGACATCCAAGCTCAGTTTGCCATCAGCCGGGAGCTGATCCGGAACATCTACAACAGCTTTCACACACTTCGGGACAGGGCTGAGCGGATCGCGTCGAGGGCCATCGACAAGGCTGCATATCTTCTCATATTCGGGAAGGAGCTAAGTGCCATAGGGTCTGACACGACCCTGCTGCCCTCCTGGGCCGCTCTGAACAGCAGCACGTGGGGGTCCCTGAAGCAGGCTCTGAAAGGCCTGTCTGTGGAATTTGCGCTGCTCGCCGACAAGGCTGCACAACAGGGTAAGCAGGAGGAGAATGACGTGGTGGAGAAGCTGAACCTCTTCTTGGATCTGCTTTAGTCGTATAAGGAGCGGGACGGCATGCGGGCCATCCTGGGCTCCTATCACAGTGAGCTGACCCCAGCTAAGTACTCGCCCCAGTTGACCCGGCGCATGCGGGAGGCCGAGGGCATGGTGCAGAGGGTGCACAGCCACAGCGCTGAGATGGAAGCTTGACCGATTTAAAATTGAAGGCATATCTTTCTCTTCATCCCCGGGGTATTAGATGAATGTGTATCTTTAAGTGTTAGTGCAGAGAGAGCAGAGAAATGGCTGAAGAGGAAGAACAACAAATCAGAAGATGAATCGGCTCCTAAGGAAGTCCGCAGGACTTCCATCGCTGAGAATATTCATACTCAAATGTGTCATGCTGGGCAAAGCGAGGAGGAGTTTCTCTCTCCTTTTGATACATTGGATTCTTCTGGTTTTTCAGGAAGTTTTTCAGGAAGACCATCTTCATCATCTAGCTGTTCCAGTGGTTCCACGATGACTGGTGAGGAGTTGTTGTCAGCAAGAAAACACCTTCACTGCATCGTTCAAATGCCTTTCTTGCTGCTGGTTTAGAAGCAAATCAACAATGCCTTTTCCTACAGATCTTCCACGGTCATCCACTATTACAACAGCCCTTTCAATAGGACCAAACTGGCTGAAGGTTTCTTCCAACAGTTCATTGGAAACGTAAGATGAAAGATTACGAACAGAAAGGGCAGCAGCATGTGTGGCAAAGCGAACTCGAAGCTGTCTACATCTCATGGGTGTATCATCGAGTTCAGCTTTGGCAATTTCAGCCAGAGCTCTGGATTCAAGCTTCATAAATCTGAATCCTTTGCCTTTGTTGATAAAAACTTCTCCAGGTTCTCCATATTTAGCAAATATTCTTTTGAATTCATCTTCCGTGATATCAGCAGGTAGATTCCCAACAAACAACCGACATCGCTGTGTGTAAGTTTTCTCTCCAGGCCTCCTCAAAAGAGACAAGTTGGCTTTAAACCCCTCCGAGTCCGAGATTTTCGCCTCGCTGCGGTCGCAGGGCCCAACGGGCGGGGGCCCCTGGGGGTGCTGCTGGTGGTTGGGCGGGTGGTGCCGGCGGCCCCCGCGAGGCTCCCCGCTGCGTCGCTGCGGCGGCTTCGGCTGGCCGCCAGGAGTGCTTAGGCCCGGGCAGCCCCCTGGCTTTTGCCGCCTTTGGGACGGCCCCGGACCTGGGCCCAGGCCGCCGAGGGCGCAGGCGGCAGGCCTCCGGCCTGAGGAGGTGTGGTAGGGACGCCGCTGCTTGGCGGGGTGGGTGGCGGCGCCCCGGGAGGGGCCGAGGTGACCGCGGGCGGCGGGGTCGGGGTCGGGGTCGGGGTCGGGGTCGGGGTCGGGCCTGGCCCGGACCCTGGCTGGGTCCTCGAGGTCGGCGGAGTGGCGGGCGGGGCCGAGCTGGAGGCTGGCGGCGCGCTGCCCACTCCGGGGCCGGGTCCCTGAGCAACGACGGGCTTGGAAGAGTCCTGCGGCGACGGCGGCGGCTGCTGCTGTCGGTGTGGAGGCGGTGGCGGGATCGGAGGCTTGGGGCCGCTCAGGCCCGGGCCACGACCCGTGGGGCGCGGCTCTGACTGAGGCCCATGCCGGGCGGCGGGGAACGGAAGTCGTGGAGGCCGCCGCGGCCGCCGCCTCCTCCGCGCCTGTGGAAGCCGCCACCGCCACCGCCGCGACTCCGGAACCGATCCCGAGACATGTCTGTGGTCAAGGGGCGGTCGAGGCAGAAGCGAAGACGCCGCTCAGGAAACGTGGAGGCCGCCTTGCTTCCCACAAAATGGCGGATGACACTGGCCGCAAACATCTTTAAGGAATATCTTGGTGATTTCACACAGGAATTTCTCCCTGCTGTTCAGATGTCTTATTAATTTGTATTATGTATATTACTTCTTCTTTGCAATTTAACTCTGTGTTTGTATGTGTGTGAGAAATCAGATTCTTGTACCACCCTCTCCTAAAATATTTTGACTCTGTAGGTCTGAGGTGGTGACCAAAAATCTGCATTTTCATTAAGGACTTCATTCTGATGTGAATAGTCCATGGACCTCACTATGAGAGCCACTGCTGTGTTTACCAAACTTCACATTTCGAAGGAAGTGATTTGTTGGGTAAAGTGTATGTGTGTAATCTCTATAAACACCTGCCATCAGTTGAATTTAATTGGACCACAGCTGGTGTTGATTGCATATTTTTTAATGTGGCTTTTCAGTACTCACTCCCCTAGCACAGCCTTTATGTCTGAAAATCAGCATTGAGTCCAATCTTGGCTGTCGATTTTAAGGCTTATTTAAAGGCACATGACAGCTGGAGCTGCACGTTCTTCAGCTTAATGATTCTACATATGGACTTAGGAGTTTAGGTGCAGTGTGTTGAAAGCAGAATTTCCACCGTGATTGGGTAGCTGTCAGTTGGTTTTAGAAACTGTGAGTCACTTGCTTTCAAAGTCAGCTTAGGCAGATTATGTCACTACCTACTCCAGTGGAAGGCTCACTATCCTGAAAATAGTCATCAAGGTTGCTGCAAGCCTAGATGGGTCTGTGTATGTGAATTGCAGAAAGGTGACTCTTCCCCCAGGCAGAAGGCACTCCCTGGCTTAATAAGTAGTACAAAATCTGGAGAGTGGAGGGAGAAGCCATCTAAAACAAAACAAAACAAAACTGGGGTGTTATTAAAAGATGAGGAAATGGTGAGAGTGTTCATTGCTGCTGGAAACAAGGTCTCAGTGTGATTTTCCATATGATTCACCCTCCCATCTAGGCATCTCTTATGCAGTGCACAACCCATACAACTATATATGACAGCTATGTAGGGTTTAAAGTCTTGGTCAGAATTCAAGAGTTGGAAGAGCTCCAGACATCAAACTGGTGGTTGTGAGTGTTGATGGGAAAATAAAAAACAGAGCAACAAGACTTTATTAAATAAGCCAGATGGCATGGACCTTTTTCGTGAAGGGTAACCAGAAGGAAAGAGGCTGTGTTTGGCATTTACCCCTGAGCAGCCACTTGTGCTTTTTCCAAAGGTCATGGTGCGTCATGGTCACTTGGGCTCCATCACAGAACGCCTGCCCATAGAGGACTGTTTCCAGCAGGAGTGGACACACTCAGGATCCCTTCTCCATTTAGGGTAATAATACCCCAGTTGTCCTCTGAAGAATTGCTTCACTTCCCCTCGCTGTTTTAATGATTCGGGTTTAAAATCAACACAGCAGCTCCAGGCATGAACAAATGACTTTCGCATCAGCGTCCAGGGTAAATCTCCCAGGCAGTGCTTGGCTTTGGCATTCACAGTCTTTGCAATCAGTTGGCAGGCCAGCAAAGTGGTACAACCTGAGTCTTAGTAGCTGAGCGACCTTGAATGTCCTAACCTTTCTGTGGCAGACAGACTCTACGGTGGCCCCCATGATTCCCACCTCATAGTACTCATGCTGTGTGTGATCTCCTCCTCTCGAGTATGGGTGGGACCTGTGTCTGGCTTCCCACTGAAAACTATGACAAAGGCTGTGGAATTATGTCACTTCTGGGATAATATTATGTAAGATTATAACATGTATCTTGCTTGAAGACTCTCTTTCTCTCACTGGATCAGAAGTAGATGGCTGTGTTGGGAAGGGCCATGTGTCAAGGAACTGAAGGTTTCTGGCCAAGCATCAAGAAACTGAGGTCCTCAGTTCTACAGCCAACTAGGAATGGATCACTAAAAACAACGATGGGAGCTTGGAAGCAGATCCTTCCCCCAGTTGAGGCTCAGATGAGACCACAGCCTTGGCCAAAACTTGGATTGAAAACATGGAAAACCCTGAGAAGAAGACCTACTTAAACTACTTCCAGACTCTTCACCACAGAAACTGTAAGGCAGTAAGTGTGAGTCTGTTGGAAGCAGCTAAGTATGTGTCCATTTGTTATGTAATGATAGGTAATTAACACATTTTCTCAGGAAGATGATGGAAAGATGATCACACGATTGCCAGTAAGGCCCCACTAATTGTGAAGGTTAAAATAGGATATTGTAGGGATAGCCTGGTACATAGTAGGCACTCGATAAATTTCACATCTCTTCCTCTCGAAATCAGCTGGCGATCTCAGGATGCCAATCATATGGGAAGTATTCAAACTGAACCCAGTGCCAGAATTACCCCAGGAAAATGCCCGCAGAAGTTAAAAAGCCAGGCTTCCTTTGTGGAAGATAAAATCATTTTGCATCATACAGGAGGCTGTGCACAAAGCAAAAACTGTTTCATAATCCTGCCATGTAAACCAGCTGGGATTTTCCTTCACAAAAATTGGATTTTGATTTATATGTCAATAAATGCCCCCAGAAATCTCATCATTTGAAAGTTCATCAATCTCCACTGGAACTGCAGATACAGCCCTAGAGGAACCTCCCAGGGAAATACAGCACTCGTTTACCAGCTCCCCCACCCCTGTGCTGATGGGGCCATAAAAAAGGGAGTGAGCAGCAGGGGAAATGGGGTCACCTACTGTGGCTTCACAGTGTCAGGCCAAGAACTTCCCTGGAAGAGTTTGAGAGTGCCTGGTGTTTTGGGGACCTACATGAAGATGTGGCAGGGCTGGGGCACACATAGAGTTGTCACTTGAGAACGGGGAGCTGGGAAGGGGCCAGGTTTTTAGTAGCCTTGAATGACAGAACACAAGGTTTGAGTTTCGAAGCAAGAGAATGGCGTATGAGACTTGAATATTGGAAATGGCATTCCAGCTGCAATATGAAGAACAGGTTGGAGAGGCAAGACAGGGGTCAGGAAGACCAGTTACGAGCTTTTTCAGTTCTGAGATGAGCAATAATGGTGCCCTGGATGAAGGTGGCAAAGGGGATGGGGAGATGGAAATGGATGTAAGAGCTCTTGGGGAATTCATTCTGGCAAGCTTGGTGATTAACAAGACTGGACAGAAAGGGCTGCTAGGATGACACGAGTTTCTGACTTAAGTAAGTGAGGGAATAGTGGCGACATACAAACTGGAATTGTGAAAGACAAACAACATAACCAGCGGCCAATCAGAATTCTCAGAACAGTCCCAGAAGAG